ACCACTAGGAGAGAAAGTGAGTGTTTTTATAATTGTGGAACACAACGCTATAATTATCAATAATCAATGAAAGTGCTTTAGAGAACTACCACTTTGAAGTCTGCATACATGTCCAGTCTTATTCTGAGATCGAGTATTCAAGTATGCAATTATAATGACATTTTGTATGTCTTCTTAAAGGGGCCCACAGGAAAGCCTGGTTTACCAGGAATGCCCGGAGGTGACGGTCCTCCAGTGAGTGCTAGTTGGGTTTATTTCACATTCAAAATAAGCCTGTTGGTTCGGTGTTTTAACATCTTATAGTTTATGTGAATTAATCATTTTAGACTAATTGTCAGTTTATTTAATAAGGCAAAACAAAATGGTTATAGAAGATATGTATGTGGTTATTTACCTGTGGTAAAGAATAAAGAATATGCTGTTCGTGTCTTAACAGGGTCATCCCGGAAAGGAAGGCCCCACTGGAACCAAAGGAAATCAGGTGAGGCCATATGATAATGCAAAGTAGAACTTCATAAATTAAATGACATTTGTGTCAAAACTATTTGTATGCTTTCTGCATTTGTGCACTTTTGTAATCAGCTACAGAACAATTATATATGTATACATATCTTTGTTAGATATATAGACAGACATTTTCAGGGCAGACATGTTCATAAGTCCCAGCGTGTTCATATGTTGACATTTATTTTTCTTGTTCATATTTAGGGTCCTAATGGTCCTCAGGGGTCTATTGGCTATCCTGGCCCTCGGGGAATTAAGGTAAAATATATATCTTCTTTAATTAGTTTGGATGCCGATAGCTTTTGTTTTGATCATTGCAAGTATTATGGAGGTCAATCTTTTAAAAAATCCTTTAATCACCCTGTGCCAATTTCTTTTTTCTTTTTTGCAATATTTTTATTAAACAGATTGTAAAATGACAATATATGCATGCCATGCAATATAAACAACACAACCTGTAATTTTCTTTTTTTAACATGCATAATGAAAAATAAATAAAATTATACAAGAAACCAGAACAACACTCTTTACCCTACCTATCCCAAATTAACCCACAGGAACTAAAAAAATAAAAATAAAAATCTCTAATGAGGATGCAGTTTCAACAAAAGAAAGGACAGGGTTCCACATGTTGTAAAATGAGTTAACAGAGTCTCTAATGGTGTGTTGAATTTTTTCTGGGTGTAGAAAGGACATTAAGTCCCATGAGGCCCTGTCTGTGTCATTTTTATGTGCAGTTCTGTCTATGGAGATTTTTATGTATTGGTAATGGCTGTTGATAGTTGATATCTGCTTTCACGTGTAAGACTCAGATTAAGATAACAGACTAAATGTTTTATGACAGGGAACTCAAGGTATCCGTGGACTGAAGGGCCATAAGGGAGAGAAGGTGAGTGTTTTTGGTCTAAAACATCAAGTTTAAGCATAAACCGAAACCATTTTGTGCTAGTTTTATATGTAACAATATGTTTGTTTTTTTTTACTTTACTTTCAGGGAGAGGATGGATTCCCTGGAATCAAAGGAGACTTTGGTGTGAAGGGAGAGAGGGTATGTCTTACATATTACAAATCATCAGTGGATAGAAGCTCATCCATTAACGTTATTTAGCACAAATATAAAATGACAGTATATGGTAATGAAGCACTTGACTTTACTGACCCATTTCAACTGCCCATTGAGATTTGTTGTGCACCATCAGGGAGAGGTGGGAGTGCCTGGCCCAAGAGGAGAGGACGGTCCTGAGGGTCCGAAGGGTCGTGTCGGTCCCCTTGGTGAAATCGGTCCTATTGGCCTGGTGGGAGAGAAGGTTAGTTTGATTATGCAAAATGAGTCATGATTTCTAATTTGTTCCATTATATATATAAGCTACGTTTTACATTGCCATTAATATTGACAGTAAGCTGTAATGAATATAAATGTTATGTTTGTTATTTAATAACAATTAATATATTTTAGTTGCTGGTCTAAAGATGTATTAAATCATACAAAATTATGCCAATCCAGGGTAAACTTGGTGTGCCTGGACTTCCTGGATATCCCGGAAGGCAAGGAATTAAGGTAAACAAAAAATAATATTGTTTATGATGCATCATAAGATATATAGCCAGGTGTTTAATCAAATTGAATGCATTTTTAAATCATTGTAATGCTTGTATTTTTAGGGCTCCCTGGGTTTCCCAGGATTCCCTGGTGCAAATGGCGAGAAAGGCGCGAGGGTAAGAATTGTTAAACTAAATTAGACTAAAATTCAACAGTTACGGTAGAAGCATTTATAGGTCACAGGGATGTCAATGCAAGGTCTGCATTAAAGGTCAAAGTTGAGTAAAGTCCTTCAATCACATTAAAAATTAATTAAAAGAAAATCTTCCTTTATTTTGGAAAAGAATTGATGATGCTGAAATATTCTGAATTGATTTTTCTCTTTCCAGGGTTTGATTGGAAAAACTGGACCAAGAGGACAGAGAGGGCCGACAGTAAGGGCCTGTTTTAATTCATCATCTCATCTCTCATCTTATTCTCTTACACTATTTTAAACAAACACTTTTTGCTTTCATTTGATTTGAAATGGTCTGATTTGTTTTGTAGATTAAAGTTGCGAGTTTTGATTCAAGCAGATGACAGATTTCAAATCAGTTGACTTGTAAACCAATGCGCAATGAGTTTCTAAGACTTCTTCTTTTTTTTTCTTTTTTTTCTTTTTAGGGTCCCAGAGGGCAGAGAGGACCCCGTGGGGCAACTGGAAAATCAGGCGCTAAGGTATGAGATTAATTTCAAATAATTTTTCGGTTTTATTGCTATTTTTAGTTTTCATTGTTGCCATAGTGGACATAGTTTGAGGAGCTGCTCAAATAATTTTTGTAGTTTTTCAACAATGATAATAAAGATCAATTAATTTCAATCAATCAATTTCTACGTTCTGATGTTTTAGGGCGGATCTGGCAGTGACGGGCCTTCTGGACCACCTGGGGAGAGAGTATGTTTATTTCAGAACTTTATTTTATTTATTTAAAACCTTTCAGTCTAGGTTTTTGCTTCAGCTTTAATTTATTTATAATGTTTCTGCATATTTTCAGGGACTAACTGGACTTCAAGGTCCAAATGGATTCCCTGGGCCGAAGGGACCTCCTGTAAGGAATAGTTTATTAGTTTGATCTGATGCTTAAAAACTTTGGTTTTACTCTATTGCTTATTGATATGTCGATTGATTTTTGAAGGGACCTCCAGGGAAAGATGGACTGCCTGGACACCCTGGACAGAGAGGCGAAGTTGTACGTATCTTTCATTTTTATCATCTAAAGTACAAAATTCACTGTGATCAAAGTTAAACAGCAACATATATTTTTCACATTGCATTCTTAGGGTTTCCAAGGCAAAACTGGACCACCTGGGCCACCGGGAGTTGTTGGACCACAGGTGAGTTTTGTGCTTTTATCAAGCAAAATGGGTTTCTTTCTCGAGAAATTGTTAATAAAATTCCTCAAAAATCAATAAATCTTTCAAATCAATTCAAAAACGTATGGAACTGTACAAGCTTTACTCAAGTCTAGTTCTTGTTTAGGGTCCCTCTGGTGAGACTGGACCGATGGGTGAGCGTGGTCATTCAGGACCCCCAGGACCACCCGGTGAGCAAGGTCTTTCTGGGCCTTCTGGTAAAGAGGGAACCAAAGGAGATCCCGGTCCCTCCGGCGGCCCCGGTAAAGACGGACCCCCTGGACTGAGAGGATTCCCAGGAGAGAGAGGACTGCCAGGAACTTCAGTAATAACTCTTACCTATTCTAGTGAATTTTATATTGTATAAAACCTTTTCTAAATGTATTTTGTCAACCGACTTTAAAACTGCACATAAATGTTTTATACCTAACTGAGTTGTACCTTTGTGTTTTCATAGGGCACTGGAGGACTGAAAGGAAATGAAGGCCCTGCTGGACCACCCGGGTCTGCTGTATGTTGCTCATAATAACCAGAATCTGAAATGTCAAGTAGATACACTCTTAAAAATAAAGGTTCTTTATTGTTATTTATGGTTCCATGAAAAACCTTTAACATCCATAAATCATTTTCATTGCACAAAAGGTTTTTTATACTGCAAAAAGGTTCTCTAGCTTATAAAATATTCTTCACACTATAAGAAAAAATGTCTCTCTTAAGAACTGAACGGTTCTTTGGGGAACTCAGAATGGTGTTTCTATGGCATCACTGCAAAAACATCCTTTTATGTTTAAGAGTATATAGACATTAGTAAGTGATTAGTGCCCCACTAACTTATGAATTCATATTGATATCGCTCATATTTCACACCAAAATCAAAAGGAAATATAAGAAATTATATTTTGCATAAAATAAAGCCTTTTTAATTACAATCTTTATCTCTATATATTAATCATTTAATTGTTTTATTTTCAATTACCATAAAATAAAGGTAGTATAATAAATACAATACTGTTATGTATACTGTACTTGTTTGCAATTGCAATGTGTATATGATTTAAATATAAAAATATATTTTTCATAATGATAACTCTATTTTCGCATTACAGTGGGCTAGAGAGAATAAATGATGTGCTTAGTTGTTATGAAAATGATGATTTTTTATTTTTATTTTAGGATGAAATAATAATGATAAATAATAATTCCCAGAGGTTTATGATCTTATTTTTGAGGAATTAAGAAATTAAATTATGGTCTTTCAGTATATTACCCTAACTGAATTTATATGCAGGGATCACCTGGGGAGAGAGGAGCAGCTGGCACCGCAGGTACTGTTGGCCCACCTGGACGACCTGGACCTCAGGGGCCCCCTGGAGCTGCGGGAGAGAAGGGAGTGCCAGTAAGTGTCTACTCTAGGTTTGCACCTTATCTCTAATACGGATTTATATATAGGCCTGTCAAACAAGATAACCCTGTTTTACAGGGAGAGAAAGGTCCAATTGGTCCAGCTGGTCGCGACGGCATCCAAGGTCCAGTTGGTCTCCCAGGCCCTGCTGGACCTCCAGGTACTGCTGGAGAGGATGGAGACAAGGTCAGTGACCTCTTCATATCTCAGTCTCAAATCATTGCAGTCGTGTGGATGATCTTGACAAATGTAAATTTGAATTGTTATTCCTATAGGGTGAGGTTGGAGAGCCAGGACAAAAGGGAGCTAAAGGATCCAAGGGAGAACATGTGAGTAAATGAGCATTCAGCTTGTGAAGTCATAATGTTCAAGAAACAAATATGAGCTTCCTGTTTCAACAGAATGCGTCAACTAATAAAAGTGTATAAAGCCATTTCAGTTGGTCTTAAAATGTGAAATTCTTGCATTATTAGATTTTGTTTTACTTATTTTGGTGGACATTATATCTATATATAATCAATTATTTGCATATTTACAGGGTCCTCCTGGTCCACTTGGGCCAATGGGTCCTGTTGGACAGCCTGGTGCAGCTGTAAGTGTGATTTAATGCAAACTAATGGGATCACAAATTCATGCTACTATTCACGGTTAGTCAAAAGGTTATATTGGCTTGTGTGAATCTCTTCTCAGGGTGCTGATGGTGAGACAGGTGCGAGGGGTCAACAGGGACCATTTGGCGCTAAGGGAGATGATGGGACAAGAGGGTTCCCAGGTCCTCCAGGCCCCATCGGACTGCAGGTACTGCATTCAGATTGTGTTTTATTCACGCCTACCAATTAAATTCTGCAAACTGGATGTTTTAGCTATTTGTACTTCATTCACATCTTTAGGGTTTGCCGGGCCCAGCTGGAGAAAAAGGAGAGACGGGAGATGTTGGTCCAATG